TAGCTACTCCCTCCGTAGCTACTTAAACAGTAGCTACTTGGGGGGGGGGGGGATACTGTACCTTTAAGGAAAGTTGATGAGATCAAACTTGATAACAATAAAAATCAAAAGAAAAAAACAAAGTCAAGAGTAAATGGAAGTATTTATTTTCATTTTAAAATTCAATTACCGGTACATATCAAACAAACTGGCCTATTTTTTTAACTTTATGCTTTATTGCTTCATAATAGGATACTTTATGCATTGTTTCCACAATTTAAAAGAAAACTCACATAAAACTGCATACTTGTGTTTGAATTTTTATAAAATTGTTAAAAATGTATTTTTCTTCTATACATAAATCCAGTCTTTTTTTGTTTTGCCCTAAAATATAAAAATATCAATAAATATTAATGAGGATTTGATATTTTAGTTTCATAATAGCACACCTACTGGCCAGAAAAGCCCCCTCCAACAGGCTTGAAGTGGGCCATGGACCACCAGTTGATAATCACAGTTTTAGCAGGTTTTGCAGCTCCATAGACATTTTATTTAGTGTGCAAAGGGGCAGAATGGCTCTTTTGATCATAAAGGTTGCACACCCTTGATATAAGGTAACTCATGCATTGCACAGAATGCTTTAAACTCAGTGATCCTCATTCTGCTGTTGTTTGTGACCTTTCTGTCAGTGCTCAGTGAGCTGTGGGGACGGCGTGATGGAAAGGACAGTGTGGTGTGTCTCAGCAGACGGACAAGAAAGTAACCGATGTTCTCTGGATGCAATGCCCAACACCAGAAAAGTCTGCACCAACCCAAGCTGTAAGTGTTGATTTAAAAAAAAAAAATCTTTGCAAAGAATAAAATGTTCCTGCATTTATCAACAAGTCAAATGAGAACATGCCCTTTTAAATATGTCTCAGTGTGGAAGGTCAAAATGTGTATAAAGTACTATCTCCTCACATTTATTTAACTTTGATTAAACAAAGTGACTTTGCACAGTTTATCTTGTGCAGTTGTTGAGACTGAGTGCCTGCTCTGTGTTAAATGAATAACCGTACGGTACTTATCTCTGCTACTTTTGTGTGCCCAAGGCCGCCTGCCTTCTAGCTGTCTTGACATCCAAAGCATGAACGGCCCCATGCAGGACACCGAACACTTCCTTAATGTTCAAGGAAAAGTCCTCAAGGTAACACAACATCACCATATCTCACAAGCGCACAAAGCACAGTTTGCAAAACATTTTTGTACAATGTGAAATGGGTGTTTTTGAAGTTTTCTCTTGGCATTTTTAATGACTCGAACGTTTAAAACGTGTTTTCCTGCACTTTTCACATTCATCTCAACTTGCAGCGTATCTGCCCTGCTGCTGTTCTTGAATTTAATCTCTACCAGCATGTGCACAGGAAGGCTTTTGATGTTCTGGCCTTGTGCACAATGTTGCAAAGAAACGCAGCACATTTAGAAAACACAAAGTTCTTTTGCACAAATGTCGAAACCTTCTTTATGGTTTTTGTTCCTTAGATGTTTTTTTTTTGTTCTTTCAAAAGACACATCTCTGTTTTTTCCTCTGTTGTCTTCTTTCATATAACCTCTTTACCTTCCATTTTCTCCTGCTTCCTTACACTTCTGTCTCTCCTTCGACTTCCTTTCTTCAGGTTTATTGTGCAGGAATGCAGACAGAGGCTCCGCAGGAGTTCGTCACCTTGACGACCGGCGAGGAGGAGAATTTCTCTGAGATCTTCGGCTTCAGGTAAACAAGGGTTTTATTAGAAAAGTTCAGACGACTTCTGGCTGTTTTCCCCTAAAATGAGAAGATTTCATCAAGCTGTAAAGTTGATCTCAGGTTTGATCGATCTTTCCTGTGCGTGTTTTTGTTTTTTGTTTTCTCAGGCTCAACGACCCCACACAATGCCCGGCCAACGGCTCTAGAAGAGACGACTGTGACTGTCGAAGAGACTACACAGCCGCAGGCATCACCTCCTTCTCTAAAGTTCGCCTGGACCTTAGAAGGATGCACATCATCAGTGAGTTGTTCGCGATGCAGAAAACAACATCCACTGCCAGGGTTTACTTCTCAAACAAGAGACACCTTCACCTTTTAATAAAGTCCCACTTTATGAGGGTTCATGTGCTCAAGATGCTTAATGATTATATCCATCTAAACTGAATTAAACTGACATCCTTATGTGTCCCCTAAAAAGTGATCATATTTATTATTAAACTACATAACTGGTCGTTATGGTAGATTTAAGCTATCTACAAAGTCATTAGACATCTTTTGGTAATAGATTTCATGAAAGAACCTTTATTAATTTATCCTACAATCTAAAGGGCTTAAATTTGTTGCTCTGTTCTTCATATTTAGCTACAGACTGGACGTTTGCTTCCACTCGTGAAGGCAAGAGTGTCCCGTTTGCAACAGCTGGAGACTGTTACAGCTTGGCAAGCTGTCCACAGGTGAGAAAGAAAGATGCATATCGCCCACTGTCTTGCACGCTAAAGTTTTAAGTGAAGATGTTGTACAATCTGTTAGAGCTCCTAACATGTGTTGGAGACAACTCTCAGCTACTGAAGCACTAAAGTCTAGCTCAGTATCTGTAAAAATGGCTGAGTATTAGCCCATTTTGTATTTACCCTGGCCCCTTAGCTGTGGCAGCCATATTGCATCAAACAGGCCTCAGAAGTTAATTAGATATTGATTTGCATTCAGTGATTACTTTTTGAGAGTTTCAATAAAATTTGTTCAGCGGTTCAGGCAATATTTTGCTAACAGATGTTTTTCTCCTGCTAGAGTGCGATTACATCAATTTTTCTTTCAAACAACGTATGTTAAAGGCAAAATTAAGTTTTGCTAGTGCAGGAGCAGTATTATTGGGGAACATATTTTAACACTACACAAGTTTAATTTCGTTTTTTTTTTTCTTCTATTTATTTGATGATATTTTCTGTACTTAAAGCATATTTGTTTTCAATGCTATATAAAATATATTCTGGATTACGTCTCATGGTGGTTTGTATCTCCCCACTTGTCTCTTCCTTTAGGGTGTGTTCAGGATCAACTTGTCAGGAACAGGTTTAAAGGTGGCGGAGGACGCCTCGTGGATCTCCCAGGGCAACTACGCAGTGGCTAATGTGCAAAAATCACAGGTACCTCATTACACACCTTTCAAATAAATCCAAAAGTCTCACAGGGATGGTCTGAAACGTCACTGTGTTGAAAGTACTGTATTCTTGATTTATTAGGATGAAATGAACATCTACCCCAAAGTAGGTCTTTTCCTCAGTCGTTTCTTCTCGTCTTAAAGCCCTGTGGGTTTTGAAGCACAGTGTGGATTTAGCCTCTATCAACCCCACTGAGGCTGAACTCGATGTTTCTAGAGACACATTTCCCTGTAAACGTTTGGACAAATTAAACCTTTCGGGGGCAGCCGCTCTGTCACACTCGCTCACCCTCCCACCACCGTCCTTCACTGCTGAAATGGAGATCAGGCTTCGGCGTGCTTTTCAGCAGAAGGTAAAGCCAGTGGTGTCCACATTCTGATGCCAGAACTCTGCTGGCCCACTTTGGACTCTTCAGACAGTATAAGTAAAGTCTGGTTGTGACAGCTGGATGGAGACAGCCCTTCACTGAAGAGCCGACAAACCACTTACTTTATGCTTTACCTTTGTGGGATAAATGGCTAGTGTGGGATAAATGAGTAATGACACAAGACATCGGGGCTCTTCATCCGGGTCACGGCACCAACTGTTAAAGACGAGAGCTGGCTGCGGACCACCGGATCCGGAAACCCCCTCCAGCCCACGTCTTTACCCCCGGCTCGAACCTCCCTCAGAAGTGGCATCTATACTAATCAATAAATCAAGGAAATATCAATTAAATTGTATTAATTATATTAGAAAAGGCAGGAAAAGATTACAATTTTACAGCGCTGGACTCTACAGTCTGTGACGCGTTCACAGACCCGGAAGAAGAGCCCCGATGTCTCGTGTCATTACTCATTTATAGGGCCCTAAGGCTCCTCCTTGACAGAAGGGGAGCTCAACCTGTCATGTATGAGGGGGCGTGTCTAAGTGTGATCTCAGTGGATCTTATGTGGACTGACGTGTTAGGAAATATGAGACAGTGCTTCAAAAGCCTTCTACGTGATGTAGCAAGCAGATTAAACTATTTCTTGACAGATATTGAATCCCAGGGAGACTCTCTTTAGAGTTTGCTGGCCCAGTTTAACCCAGTCAGAACCGGGTCATAAATTCATTATAATCCCGTCTCTGAGCAGATCAAAACCATAGGACCAGTCTAGATTAAAAATATCTTAACAGGATGTTTCCCCACACTTTTGAAACTCTACATCAGAGGTCTGCAACCTTTACGATCAAACGAGCCATTTCTGCCCTTTCGTTCATTAAATTAAACGTGTCAAGAGCCACAAAACCTGCTACAAGTGTCATTATCAACTGGTGGCCCGTGGGCCATTTTAAGTTTGTTAGAGGGGGCTTTTCTGGCCAGTAGGTGTAAAATTATAAAACTAAAAACATCTAATGACTGTTAACGTTTATTGATATTTTTACATTTTGAGACTAAAGAAAATATCAGATAAAGTGAGTATAATTTACTTTGTGTATTAGTACTAGTATCCACATATTTGCAAAGGAATTGACAGGGAAACTGCTAAAACTAGTCATTTTTGTGGGTATGACATCCTATAAAATTCAGTTTTATGTTAGTTTTGGTCAAAGCTTGAAAGAGCCGCTGCAGAGGGACCAAAGAGCCGCATGTGGCTCCAGAGCCGCAGATTGCAGACATCTGCTCTAGACCATATGTGTCAAACTCAAGGCCCGGGGGCCAAATGTGGTCCTCGTTGACATCTTATCTGGCCCCCAAGATGATATGTGAAATGTAAAATACTTCTATATCTTTAATTCTTTTCAGTAATATTTGATTATGATGATGAAAGTACAACAGAGAACATCGAAAGAGACCAATCAAACTCCTGTTGAGGAAACTGTGACCAAGAAAAGATGTCGGGTATCTGATTTGAGTTCATGTACATTCTGAAACTGGCCCTTAGTTTGAAAAAGGTTTTAATTTTGGCCCCCGTTTGTGAGTGAGTTTGACACCCCTGCTTTAGATGCCAGTGTGAAGTCTGATGCATGTAATTTGTGTGATGAGCTGCCGACAGTATTCAACTTTCAAACCTGAAACAAAAATATCAGACACCTCAGTCCAAATCTTTACGTGTATGATTCTTAGCAATGGATTATCTTAGCTGTTGCGGATAACTCTTCAAAGACCTCAACTGAAAGAAAGAGTTTAATTTAGACTGAACTGATGAGCTAACAGCTCGTTTATTACCTCATCTCAGAAAAGTTGAAGCAGACCATGTGCAAATTATTTTATGCATCTTCATAATACTGTCAGTTTGCATGATACTGGTGTTCCAGTAGAAATGTTATGATACTCCTGCAGGAAGTGCCCCACCAGAAGTGCTACAGCTAGCTGCTGCAGCTGCTATTAACTCTTGTAAATCACCGTAGAATTCGATATAACTAACCATGTGATGTGAAGCTGACAAGGATGTAAAGGTTTATAAAAGTCTGTGTGCAAAATACGCCCATCCTAAGATGGGACGTAATGTATTATGGTATGGCGCCATCTGTCTATCTGTCTGTCTGGACAATGTCTTGTCTGAGCTCTAAACTGCAAACATCGACTGCACAGCTGGACATCTCATGCGTCAAGGATGACTCATTGATGTCAGGATCACTCTGTCAAAGATCAAGGTCTAAAGTGACCCCTTTGTTAAAACCTTGTTTGTGCTCCAGCTTGACATCTGCGTAATGTAGAAATGTTAAAACCTTTTGTTTCCTAGATTGTCCCTGGCTGTCCCGCCATAATAAGTTGTCCATGATGGAACTACTCTAATACTTGGGACATTTCATCAGGCTGGCCCCACGTTGGATCTTACATTTTGTTTTGACCATATACATCCAAGATTGATGTGTGAGGGAACACACTCTTTGGATTTTGATTACTCTGACAATTTACTGACGGGCGTAATGTGTAGTATACATATACATGTATATGATGGTGGTACTCAACCTGCTCAAAACATTGCATTTTATTTTATTTTATTGCACGTGATACTTCCATTTGTGTTGTTCTTTGCAAAATAATTAATGACATACACGGAAATTACATGCTGAAAAGATTTTGGAAGATATGGAATAGAAGAGAGGAAGAAAAACATATTTTGTCAAGTGATTTGTAAAACCTGCGTTTCTTAAAGGACTTTAAAATCTTGCATTGAGAGGTTTTTTTTTTAATTTCCTTGTGTTTTGTGTGTCCACAGGACGGCAGCAGAGTGTCAGGAATCTGTGGAGGCTACTGTGGAAAATGTGCTCCGTCCTCTGACAGCAGTCTGCCTGTAACCATGGAGTAGATGTGCTGCCATCAAACAGGTGTGGAATATCAATCCATAATATAAAAAAATGCTTGAAAATTAATTTCTGATCTTTAAATTGCTCTTTGATCTAAAATATTTGCCTTTATTTGTGTTAATTATTAGATATTTATCTTAATTGTATGCTTTGTTGTTGTTAAATCTGCTTTCATTCATCACCTTTAGGTGCTTATTTCATCACAACGTCCCTCCTTTATGGTGCTACATGCAACGTCAAGTGCAAACCCATCCTTTGCATCACCTCTTTAGCTCCCCGTGTGAATAGTGTACATTGTTGTAAGTAATGTAAATAGCTCGATAAAACTCCTTATTTATTGTACTCTTCGTATAGTTTTGTATTGTAAAATAATTTAAAGGTGCTTTTCTGTCGAAAGTAAAGTGAGCACTAATCTATTCAGCTTTTGCTCATAACTGCCTTCCAGTTTAAATGTCAGCCTGATGTTATTTAACTGTAAAGTTACTCTGCGGTGCATAAGTCAAAGCCATATGTGTGTTCTTTTTTTATTGTTTCTTTGTGACAGTTATCAGTCCGCTGGTCTTTATGCAGTGAGGTGTTCGAGCAGCCACATTTATACGTTAAACACAGACCCTCCGCTGTCTCTTACCGAGCTGCAGCACTTTATCACAAGCTTCAGGTTTCACGTTTGCCTTAAAATACAATTCCTCTCGTTTTTCCTTTTACAACGTGTGCAGCCATAAGATCCAAAACGAGGAGTTTGAATCCGAACGGCTGCTCTGTTTTGACTTTTCCAGCTGTTACCTCCAGGTGGAAGCCGTCATCCAGCAAGCAGAGTGCAGGCTCGTTATGTGGTGATTAACAGGGTCAGGTGTAGCAAACACATAAAGGCCAGGTGTTTGGTAGGTTGACTTTCAATGAGTGTTTGCACCAGGCGGACTGGATAAAGCCCGGTTAATAAAAAGATATGAGGTGCAACGGTGTAGAATGTACTGTTCTCATATGTGACGAATGTTCAGCCATATACAATGACTTCTTTTGCCTTGCACACATATCCACTTTACAGGATCAAAAGGAACAAAGAGGAAACGCAGTGTAGAGTTTAAGTTGCCAGGCATTAGACAGAGCCTAATTCCTCTGTGTTTTCCCACTCAGCCTGTGTACAGGGACCCAAAGAGCCGTTAGCTATTAACAGTCAGGTTATCCTATCTGGGGCCACTTTACCTCAAGCCAAATGAAGTTCCACAGATGCTCCAGAGGTCCAGTACAGTGTGAGGCTGCAGACGACTATCTGCTGAGCTTTCAGGTCCTACAGTCTGCCCTCGTGCCGCCTCTTGTACCTCACGTTCTTTTCGTTTTTGTTGTCTCAGAGAATCTGTCCATTTGCTCTCATGCTGTTTATAGCTTGTTGTTGTGTTGTTCTTTGTGACGATATCAGGGTACTTTATATTTTGTGTTTGTGTCTCTTTATCCACTGTTATACAGTAGCTGATGTTTGGAGACTTCAGAGAGTCCAGAAGATAGTTTTTAAAAAGCGATGATCCTTTACATCGTTTTAGTTTAGGTTTGTTGTGTGCATTGTACACAACTAATCACAAAGCCATGTCCTTATTGGTTGTTCTACTGGTGCTATTTTAGTGCCTTAAAGGGATAGTTCTGATCATTTGAAGTTGGATTATGTGAAAGTGGTGTGAACAATTAATATCTTACCTGTTGTAGAAAGCTCTTTAAATGACCTCAGTTTGAAGGAATACAGTTTAAACATGAACCGATTAAATTTTGACCCCACTTGAAATTATTTGAACTATCCTTTTCAGTGATGTTGTGCATTTTTCAGCCAAAGGGAATTCACTGCCGTCTTAATATGCAACTAAACGAACTTTAAAGACAGGACGAAAAAATAGTGTCTTACTGACGGTCACAACTGATGCACTTCTGACTGTGAATGTCAGATTTCGATTCAGTCAGGTTCTCAGGTGTCATAATGAAGGGATTATTTTATTTAATTGTATTAATCTTATTGTTCTCACATGCCGTGTGTTTACCAGGTAACTCAACATGTATTATTGCATTTAACAATGTAAAATGTCTTTATATAAATATGTATGCTTTATTTTGTTTTCTAATTGACTTTTTGTTGTGAATGTACATAAACCTCAGCCATGAATGATTACCATAAAATAAACCGTCTGCCAGAATGTTTTCTGTTTCAGAAATCCATTTATTTATATATTATTCATATCTGGGAGTTGAATTTGGTTCAGCCACTCTAAAATCATGATTTATGTATGAGAGCAGAAAGGGCAGTGATTGGAGTGTAATAAAAAGGCCTGATGGGCGCCACACTTGTCGGCGTGCTCTTCACACCAATAAATCTATTTCACAGCAGTTTGTCCTTCACTGTAACACCGGCGGTAAAACATTTAGGCACCGCTGATAGTCTGGTTAATGTTTGGAATAAATCCTCGCACCGTAAAGCATCTATGTAATTATGATCATATACTGGGCACCATCGCTGCCAGCTTCACACATGACCTGGCGGATGTGTTTTAAAGAACTCATCCAGTTCTGTCTGTGTTCATATCAGAGAAATATTTGGTTCACTCAGGAGTTAGTGGTCTGCGGTAATAAATGTACTCAAACTGTGATTGTTGATCTAGATTTTGAGGATTTAAATTTTTTATTTTGTATTGTTTTTCATATTTTTGGAGGGCTGTGGTAGCTCAGTGGTCTTGTAATTCCAAGGAAGCAGGTCCCATGCGTCCATTCCAACTTTACTGGTAAAGCACTTTCAAACACTCAATGTGCTCTACAGAGTCAACACTAAAACACGATTCATGCAAAATACAATCATAACACAAGACAATTTAAATCATGCAATAAAAACAAAATATCAAATCAGGCCAAACAATAAAATCTGATTTATAAAAATACTGTAAAATCTATTAAATTAAAATAGGATGTAATTTAATAAAATCAACCGTTTACTAAGTGTTAAAAGCCAAATAAAACAGGTGGTATATTTAAAAGAGTAAAAATGTTTTAAAAAAAGACTATGAAGAAGCCTATAGAAGGTGTGGGGGCAGCTTGTTCCACAATTTAGGAGCTGCTGCAGCAAAAACTCAATCCCCTGAGCTTAAACCTAGTAGGCTACACTGTATTCAGTTTAGTTTTAAGGCCACTCAGGAGCAGCTGGTCAGATGATGTGAGCAGGAGGGTTAGTAGGGATGCAGCAGTTCAGAGAGCAAGGGTGGGGCAAGGCCATTCAAAGATTTATAAACAAAATATTTTTTTAATGGATCCTAAAATGCACAGACAACCAGTGGAGTGATAATAAAATGGGGAGATGTGCTCACATTTACATGTGCCAGCTAAAAAAAAACGCCATGCTGCAGCATTTTGTATCCTTTGCAGTCGAACATTGGAGGAGCCCCCAAATAATGTGCATTACAATAATCCAGCCAGGTGGTGACAAAGGCATAAATGTGTCTTTTTGGAAGGATGGGTTTTATTTTGGCTTGTTGTCTTAATGATAAAAACTTTTAGTGAATGACCAACTCTGGCTGTCTAGTTTAAGCTCAGGATCCAGTTCAATCCCAAATTTCTCACAGTTAATCTGCTGTACTGAGCCAAGGAACTTCAATTTACAGGTGGTGTGACCCAGTAGTGCCTCCAAAAACCATAACCTCAGTTTGCGATTAATTAAAATTTGAAAATGTTAAGCACCATCTAGGCACCTAAAAAGCAGAATTATTGAGTCTGCATTTGACTTTTTTAAGAGGGACATAAGTCTGACCGTCATCTACATAAGCTCTCAAAACATACCTGCAGTGCGCCCTCAGTGCAGACCGAACTTGGCAAAATGGCCTTCTCTTACTCTGCTCCTGTAACCTGGAATTCCTTGCAAAAAGAACTGAAGTTGTCGACTTCGACCTCTCTAAGGGATTTTAAACAACTGTTAAGTTCATGGCAAAACCAACCAACCAAAGGAATACGTAAAGTGTTTTGACATTTGGCAGTCGTGCGTTATGTAAGATGGATGAAATTCACACACAAAAGTGAATACTGTATTTTCAACAGTTGGATTTATGTAAAATGAGTGAGTACACCCATTCCTCTTGGGGCTCTATAGAAGCCAATCAGTCTGACAAATGTACTTAAAATGTAAAAGTCCGAGTATGCCGTTGTCAGAGAATAGTTGTAAAAGAAAGAATAAATCAAGTTTTTAAAAGAAAATTCAAAGGATTTTTATGAATGTAAGACCTGAATAGAATTTCAGATGCTTGCAGATTCCTATTTCCCTACTAGCAGTGAGCTGATCTGAGATTTAAACTGTATTAAATATTTAAAACACATCTAATTGTAATGCTTTGCAAACAACTGGAGCCTAAATCAGCCCTAGCTGTCGTCTGTAGGTTTAAAATCCATGCGCAGGTTAAATTAAAAATAATGTGAGACAGAACGTGAGGAAGTAGGTCCAGCTCACTGGATCAACACCCAGTGGACCCTGTCAACAAATGAAAAAAGAGATTTCACAACATTTACACATCACACCATCTTAGCATCAACATAACTGGTTTGTTCCACTTTGGAGTAAGCTGTTTGGGGGAAGAATCAGTTTTGTGTTGTGTGTTTCCTTGACTGATGAAGCCTTCTGGATGGAAGGTGAAACATTTCTGAAAAAAAAAGGAACTGTCCACATGACCTGACTGAAAATTGTTGGATTTACACATGGTTCTTAGAATCCATCCAAAATCTTTACCCGCTTCTTCCCTTTTGGGTTGTGGGGGGTCTCTGGTGACCATATCCAGAAGTCACTCTGTGAGAAGTGGGGGACACCCTGGACAGGTTGCAAGTTCATCACAGGGACACGTGAAGACACTTCAATTCAATTCAGTTTATTTATATAGCGCCAATTCACAACAAAGTTGTCTCAGGACACTGAAGAGAAACATTCATATACTGTACACAGAAAAGCAACTAAAGTTATCTAAGGAAGCCAGCAGACTCGGTGAATCTTCACTTCGTCACAGTCTCCCATCCTGAGCAAGCACAAAGGCAACAGTGGAAATAAAAAAACTCCCTTTTAACAGGAAGAAGCCTCCAGCAGAACCAGTTTTAGGACAAGCAGCCATCTTCTTCGACCGGCTGGGTTTGAGAGGACAGGAAGGAGAGACAAACAAACACAGAATGGCAGGTCCAGATGTAGGTGCAGGTGTACCTCCTAACAAATGACAAACAAGACAAACAACCATTCACTCTTTCACTTTCACCTAGAGACAATTTAGCGTCACCAATCAGTCTAACATGCATGTTTTTGGTCTGTGGGAGGAAATCGGAGTACCCAGAGAAAACCCACGCATGCACAAAGAGAACGTGGACTGTGACATGGACCTGTGTCAGAGCTCAACTGAGTCGGCTGATAAACATACAACCTCTATCAGGACTATGGCTGGAGGTGGGGGTTCTGGCTCCTCAAACTCTTGCCTTCGCTGGCCTCCCTCATTGCCTCTCCTCTGGTGCAGCAACCTAGGAGATGCGAGGCGCCAACTGCTGCGTCGCTCACTTGGTGATCTGTACTGGGACCCCCCCCCCACTCCACATGCACATGTCTATGTGGGTTATTTTTGCAGCCTCATGCTGTGTCCTGCAGGGACACAGTGTGAGATTGATTTTTTTGCCCCCTCTTCCCTCATGTTCCCCTTTTTCAAATCTAACAAAAAAGAAGCGCCTCTCAGAGGCTGTGCCTCAGTCACCCCGTCTACCCAAGTCTGTGCCTGTTTGTTTGTGGTTCTTCAGATGGGCTGTACTGAAATATAATTTCATTGCGCTCTGTGCAATGACAATAAAGCTGATTCTGAACATGCAAACTCCACCCAGAATGGCCCACGGCCGGGATTTGATCCGGCGACCTGCTCGACGAGAGGCTACAGCTCTCCCAACTGAGGCACCTTGAAGCCCGTTCTTAGAATATTTATTTGAATTTATTTTGACAGCAATGAGAGGAACTTTAAAGCCATGAGTCCTTTGGGTCAGCTTCTACCATCTTCATCAGATGATCTGGATTGACTTTGAAGTAAAGTTTAGCAGAAAGTTTTAGGCTCTTTGCCTGTATGCTTTGTGAGGTATATAATACTGGATTATTGAGCATGGACATTGTTGCTTTGCGAGGTCATTTATCCTCATTTTTTAAAATAAATTTTGTTATGAAATAATTTGGCTTCTGATTTCTCATGAGTCTGAAAAATGGATATGCCTTAAAACTCTTTGCACAAACAACAAATGATCCACCTTAAAAATGATCAAGTCATCCTCAGAATGGGGTTAGGATGTTCTCAGAGTCTCTCTGCCTCCATGTCAGCTCAGCAGACTTAGGTTTTTGTAAAACAGCACACCTGAACCTGCAACAGTTATCTTTCTTTGCTTTATGCACCCGAGAAGTCAAAATGCCGACAACAGCTCGACAAAATAAAGAATGAGGTTATTTTGTCTTTTGTGCGCAGTTTTTCAGAAAAGACGTCCGTTTCATGAGCTGAGGGCAACACACTGTGTTTTACAGAGGATGGGGAAGAATAAACAACAGATAAACAAACAACAATAAACCATACAAATTCAGATGGTAACGACTCTAACATGTAGGGAGCAGTGAAAGAAGAAACACAAAGTCAAGGTGTAGATACAGGAAGTGCACAGGAAACAAACAAACTCCAAGACCCTAAAAAGAAAAGGAACAAAAATACAAGTGAAATAATGTTAATGATCAAATAACAAACATGCATTTATAAACTATAAAGCAATTAGAAAGATACAATAAATATTATTGTTACCTTGCCTGTCATATTCCAGAAACAAATTAACTAACAGATAAATAAATAAATAAATAAACAAACAAACAAACAAACAAACAAACAAATAAATAAATAAATAAATAAATAAATAAATAAATAAATAAATAAATAAATAAACAAATAAACAAATAAACAAATAAATAAATAAGAGGACCAGAGTAAACAGACTTGTAATTTTGGATGCTATAAACCGTTAGAAGTTTTACATTTATACATTCCTGGTCTCTGATGACGTGTTTGTTGTTGTTGTTTTGATTTCGGACAACATTTAGTCTTTTGGCACCAGTACTTTTAGTGGTTCAATATTTAGACCAGACTGAAGGAGGATGACGCATTTATCTGTTTAATAACGGATCTGCGGCTCCCCTCGTAATTCACCCCTTGTGTCGAAATTACGTTGTCTTTATTATTATTATTATTATTATTATTATTGTTTTATTTTAAATTTGTGAAGAAGTGTAACAGCCTTCTATTGGCCGTGAGGATCCGGGGAGGAGCTGCAGAACCGGAACCAGGGAGCTCCATTCATCATGTCAGAGGTTGTTGGGACAGAAGCGCAGCCGGAACGTCTTTTACGCACGGAGCTCAGAGTTCTTCCATGTTCCTCAGCACCAGCAGCTCTCATTTCTCTGACTGCCGAGGTCATGCTGACTCGCAGTTTTAAGAGAAGACACTTCAGTAAATCGGTATGTAGGCAAGACTAACTTTAACATTATTTTTTTGTTGTTGTTTGTTTTGTTTGCGCGCGTGATTCAACTTTTATCCAAAGATTTTGACGCGCGTTTTTTTTTTTTTTTCCACCCCAAGTAATTGTTTGTTTCTGTTGCTGCTGGTTCCATTTCCATGGAGATCAGGGGTCAGAGGCAACAGCAGCAGCTCAGTCAGGATCTCTGTCTCAGTCTGTAGCTTTAAGAAACATTTTATTACCTGTAGAGTTTGTGCTCCGCAAATAAATTTAACACAACTCAACACCATATGTCTTCTTCGAGCCTTTAATTTGTGTCAGTTACCACTTACTCTTAAACAAAGTATCACAACTAATGCAAACTATAAAGCCCTAACTCAGTTGTCTGCTGTGAAGTGCCACCCGCTCATCTTCTTCTCTTTATTCCAAGCTGAACCCTGCAGATGAGCAGCAGAGAGGCCAGCCCTGCATCACCTGTGGAGAACAGTGTCCTGGCTTCTACCTGCACAAATGGAGGTACAGCTTCATACCATGCAAACCTTGCTGATGCTTTCAAGTGATAACAAGAAACCCATCTGCTATTTTTTTAGTGATGTGTTTATTTTGTCATGATTGACACAAAACAAGTTGTAGTTGTGCAACCAGCTGATTAAGCCACTGCTTTAGCCACACACTTGTTCTCTAGAGACAACTCTGGGTTTCCTTTCCAAGCCAAGAAGCTTTCAGATGCCTGTCTCTTCCGATAGGATCAGCCTTGCAGGGTGCCAGGAGGAAGCTGTTGTTTTGTGCGCTCAGATAATAGTTTTTTTTAAACGGTGCTAACATCTCCTGCAGCACCGGAGCCTGCCTGCTGCTTCTAAACTGAGACATCACTTTGCTGATGCTGTGAAACAGACTGAATATTGGACGCTGTGTGTGAGTCACATGCGCTCTGTGTTAACTAATGTGTGTCTGCTGTGTGAAGGACTAACTGAGCTCTGCGATGTTTACAGTGTGTCGAGACTGTTTCTAAAACTAAACCACCAGCATAAGGTGTACTGGTTGTATTTCCACAATGCAATGGTGAGAGGAAATGTGCTGATTGATCTGTTCTGGTAGAGACTGGCTGTGGAAGAATAGAGGTCTGTCATCATAAGCTTGGATATTATAATTGTTGAGTTTAAATATTCTGATTAATTTCTAATCCTCTCTACATCACAAATAATAGTGTTGGGTTTTTTTTGTTTGTTTTGTTTTTTTACAAACTAAGTTGAAGCTGGCTGTTCCAAGTTAACATGGAAACTTTGGATTCATGAGGCATTTTGTCTTCTGTTGTCAACAGTAGGAGGAGAGGGTCTGAACAAAAAATTCCATCCAGTCATCTCTGCTACAAAGTCAACTTTTACACAGGCAACGTGAGCTCAGGAATGCAGTTTTTTAATTACTTGTCTGTGCAGACTCAATAAAAAGCCTTTTTTTTTTTTATGGACAAACTTAAATAACCCATCTTCACAAAATGTTTCTTCTTTCTAACTCCAACGTGCAGTTGTCTCTTCTCACTTGTTTCTCTGAAGAAAAGAAAAAAAACAATTAAACAAATTTTTGAAGTTATGGTAGTAATGGTCTCTCCATCCATTTTTTTTACCCACTTCTTGTTTCCAGTTTTTGGGGGTCTATCTTCAGCAGTCGGTGTGAGAGAGTTCAAGTTGTGTTTATTTGTCATGTAAGGTTAACACAAGGTTAACAGTACAATGCAATGCTTAGGATGAAAAGAACCAATTTGACTCACTAAAAAAAAAAACAAAGAACAAACAAACTAGAAATACTAAAGCATGCAATAAGGTTTCAAAATAAAGTACAAAAAAGTGAAAAAGTAATTATGATATTCGCAATGTCCTAAAGAGCGATAGTAAACAACAACATGGTAGAATATAACAAGCAAGCAGGATGAATTTAAATGAATAAGTATTTCAAAAATAACTGCCCTTTAGTCTTTTTGTATGCGATGGCAGACTCCTGTATCGTCTGCCTGAGGGTAGTAGGCGTAAGAGTCCTTGTGCTGGGTGGGTGTGGTCCTTAATGATGCTGCATGCTTTACGCAGACATCGGCTGTGGTAGATGTCCTGGATGGTGTGGAGACTGTTACCAGTGATGTCCTCTGCTGTTTGCACCTCCCTCTGTAGAGCTTTCTGACTCTGACTGGTGCAGTTCATGTACCACCCTGTGATGCAGCCTGTCAGCAGGCTCCCAGTGGTGCACCTTTAGAAGTTTGTGAGGATACTGGTGTTCGTATCAAACTTCTTTAGTCTTCTTAGGAAGTAGAGTCTTTGTTGGGCTTTCTTGACTATAGTGTTTGTAAAGTCCTGGACAAATCCTCGGTAATGTGAATGCCTAGAAACTTGAAGCTGTTGACCTGCTCCACCTCAGCATTGTTTATGGTGGAGTGCTGACCTCCACGTTGTTTCCTGAAGTCCACTATCATCTCCTTTGTTGTGCAACATTTTTGCTGACTGTGCTGCTCCATAATAGTAACCGTGTGTGCTAAAAAACAACAAACTTTAAGTGACTGAAGGTTAAAGATAGAAAGCCAGTAGAACCTATTTAAGTGAATTATTCAAGCAAAAGATAATTATATTATTATCTGAAAAAACAAACACAGAAACACATTTTAAGTAAAAGCACAGTTTGAATTGCAATTTCTGACACTAACAATCAGCCATCTATAAAAATGTCTGTTATGTCCAGTTTTGGCTGCTCACATTGTTGCAGAATGATTTTAGTTTAAAACAGTGGATTTGAAAATATGTTGTAAAGGAGGTAAAGATGAAAAGGAAAAAAAAATCTAGTCTAAAGTGGAGATATGTTTTATTCTCTCTACAGTTCAGGGTCAATAAATTAGAAAACAATCAGAACTGGAAAACCCAAAATAAAGTGACACTGTTACGTTTTGTGAGACTTATGAGAAAATATGATGTGCTATAAAGCACAAAAATGAGATTTCCCCTCTTTAAAGTAATTGAACAGTTTTGAGTCAAAGTTAAACTATTGAGTAAACCAGGAAGTTTGGTATTTTAAATGAATTGTAGTTGAATATTTTTCATGTGCATTTATTTAAACATTTTGTATCACTTCTAATGGTACATCCTCCAGTTATGGCCAACAATGGTGTACCACAAGGCTCAGTCTTAGGGCCCACCCTCTTCACAATCTACATAGGTAATGTAAGTCAGACCATCCCTGATGCATCCTTACATTTCTATGCTGATGATACAATTGTTTATTGTTGAGCTAAAACAGTTGCTAAGGTTTTCCAGCTTTTGCAATCCGCCTTTGACATTATTCAGACAGACTTGCTCCATCTCAAACTTGTCCTAAACACCTACAAAACCAATAGGATGTTGTTTTCAAACAGGAAGTCAGTCTCAGCAGTTCTTCCTTTTGATTTTATCCTCGAATGGTGTCCTTTATTGAGTTTGCTGATTCCTACAAATATTTGGGTATCTTGGTTGATTCGCATCTCTCCTTTAAGCTTCATGTGGAAAACTTGGTAAAGAAACTGGAAGTTAAATTGGGTTTCTTTTTCAGAAATGGATCCCGTCTAACCCTGAGTTCTAGAATTGCGCCGCTCAAGGTGGCTGCATGTTGGAGCAGCTCTGTTACTTTCATTTTGAGATTTTGCTTTTGGAAACTTTAATTCCTCTTTTTCTGGATGTAAATCACAATTTTTTGGATGATTTTTTTCCCTCTGGTATCAGATGCTGTGCAGCTGGAAGGATTTTTACTGAAATCTAAAAAAGTTAAATCTGGTCCTCTGGACATTCAAAAAAACAAAACAAAGCAAATCAACAAAAAAATGTAGAAACGTTTCGTCTCTCATCCGAGAGACTTCCTCAGTCTGAGGAGCTGTTTTCAGCTCAGTCTCTTAAATAGCACCTTCTCAGAGTGGATCAACCAGTTTTGCTGCTGACAACCAAAACCAGCTGATCACATGCTCAAGAAGGACCATCAGCCTAACAATGGATCATTAGCACACTGATGGCTGTTTACTGTTCACAGAGGGCTGAGTGATACTAGCAATCACAGCATTGTAAGAGGGGGACAGTTGAACCCGGAGGCCTCCACCCCTGTTTAACGATGGACGATTTCTTTTCACAAAGATGGCCTCCTTTACTCCTCTCTCAAACCATCGTTCCTCTCTGACCAGGATGTAAACATCTTCATCCCTGAAAGAGTGACCGCTGGCCTGGAGATGAGTGTAGACCGCAGAGTCCTGGCCAGATGCAGATCCAGGCCAGCGGTCCAGGCCAACAAGGCAGTTTTCTACAACCAACAGCAGCTGATTAACATCTCAAAAGCTCAAATAATATCTCAACTACAGCCTCAAATCTCAAATGAGTTGAAAATGATGTTCTGTGGATGCATTCTCATCTACCTGCCAGCTGTGCTCGAGTGCCTAACCACTGAGATCCTGGAACTAGGAGGAAACATGGCTCATGACAGTGGAAGGACAGGATCGTCCCTCGGCACCTACAGTTGGCTTTCCGCAGCGACGAGGAGCTCGGCAGACTGCTGGGAGGAGTGGCCGTCTCTCTGGGAGGAGTTCTGCCCGGCATTTGGGCGGTCCTACAACCCGAGGGGAACCGAGAGGTCAGCTGAATCCGAGTGGACGGAAAGGACGGAATCTGCAGCCTGTTTCTTAGGATCCACTGTGGGATGGACCTTTACAAGAGATCCTTCCTGTCTACGGCCATCAGCATCTATAACATCTCTCAATGAAACGAGGATATCGAGTTACAACAACAAATAATTTCCCTCTGGGATTAATAAAGTATAATTGAATTGAATTGAATTGAATGCTAGGAAACACCTTGTAACTGTGACTTTCCTTCCCTCCATTGATTATGGTGACATTATTTACATGAACGCTCCTACAAGCATTATGCAGATGTTGGTAACACATGGTAAGCACTTTGGTAACAGTTTCTGTTTTAAATGTGCTCTATAAATAAATCTGACTTGACTTGACTTGACTTGACGCTGTCTATCACGGTGCACCGAGATTCAAAACTGGCTGTAACTATCGTACACACCATTGCACCCTGTATTCACTGGTTAACTGGTCATCATTAACGTCACGCAGACTCTCACTGGTACATTTTCATCTTGAAATCACTTCTTGGTCTGCTGCCTTCATACATCTCCTCCTACATGTCTCTGCGTGAGTGCAGCTACAGCTTGCGCTCTCAAGACATTATTACCTGCAGTGTTCACTCAGTGAGGCCTGAACTAGGTAAAAGGGCCTTCTCCTACTCCGCTCCTGTTTCCTGGAATATCTTGCAAAAATATCTGAAGCTCTCAACCTTGACCTCTCTAAGTGACTTCAAACATCTGCTAAGTTCCTGGCATAAACCAACGCAGACATGTTCCTGTTTTTGGTATTCTACATTGCTTTACAACCTAGCTGGTTTTTGTTTTGTTTTTTTTAATACCATTTTCTTTCATTTGTTCTTCTCAGTTTATTTGCTTTCTTTTATGAT